GTTTGCATGTTAAATTATCTTGGTACATGCTTTTAAACACACCTGTCCTAGGTGCTCCCTCACATTACCCACTGCTTAGGGCACTTCATGTATTTAAAACCAACACAGCAACATTCCCCAAACATGCATTTTGTCATCGAATTTCAAAGCAATCAGCCTGGTCCCTCAGGCAAGGAAACAGCGACACCGAAGATGAATGATTTTCAGACGCCATCGGGAAAGCTCAGGCTGAACTGGAAATGGGTACCGGGGCTGCTGCTGTCCTGCTCTGTATCCTCTTTGGCCCTGAGCTGCAAGCAGATCGTAGTGCAGAATGAAGGGCGACGGGGACCACAAAAGAATCCGTTCTCACTCCTGGTGACAGGTCTTATTTCACCACTGTTAGAATTGTACCATCTATCACATTTTTTTTTATATCATGAAGGTTATGATCTACAGCTGAAATTCACCAGTTTGAATTCACCAATTCTCACGTGTTGTTTGTTTTTGTTTTTGCTCTTGACTTATTTACAGAAAGTCACCTGAAGAGCCCCCGCCCGAGGCCTCCTCATGGATGAGACAAACGTGACATCGTTTACTGTCGAGGGTCCCGCAAACGCCTCAAGCAGCGGGAACACCTCGGTGGGACAGTCGCGCCCACAAATTCCAGTCGTGCACTGGGTCATTCTCAGCATTTCCCCGGTGGGGCTTGTTGAAAATGGAATTCTCCTCTGGTTCCTCTGTTTCCGGATGAGAAGAAACCCCTTCACTGTCTACATCGCCCACTTGTCCGCCGCGGACATCTCATTACTCTTTTGTATTTTTATTCTGTCTATTGACTATGCTTTAGAGTATGAGCTTTCTTCTGGCCATTACTACACAATTGTCACATTGTCGGTGACTTTTCTGTTTGGCTACAACACGGGCCTCTATCTGCTGACGGCCATCAGTGTGGAGAGGTGCCTGTCCGTCCTCTACCCCATCTGGTACCGATGCCACCGCCCCAAGCACCAGTCGGCATTTGTCTGTGCTCTCCTGTGGGCTCTTTCTTGCTTAGTGACCACCATGGAGTATGTCATGTGCATCGACAGTGGGGAAGAGAGTCACTCTCGGAGTGACTGCAGGGCAGTCATCATCTTCATCGCCATTCTGAGTTTCCTGGTCTTCACTCCACTCATGGTGGGATCCAGCACCATCTTGGTAGTGAAGATCCGCAAGAACACGTGGGCACCCCACTCTTCCAAGCTGTACCTGGTCATCACGTTCACCATCATCATATTCCTCCTCTTTGCCATGCCCATGAGACTCCTCTACCTGCTGTACTCTGAGCACTGGTCCACCTTTGGGAACCTCCACCACATTTCTCTCCTCTTCTCCACAATCAACAGTAGTGCCAACCCTTTCATTTACTTCTTCGTGGGCAGCAGCAAGAAGAAGCGGTTCAAGGAATCCTTGAAAGTGGTTCTGACCAGGGCTTTCAAAGATGACATGCAAGCTAGACGCCAGGAAGACAGCGGTAATACTGTCACAGTTGAGACTGTCGTCTGAGGACCACAGAGGGAAATTGTGGACTAAGATGGTGGAACACAGAGAATTTTTACTTTGTGCTTGGAATACAACTGGAGTGTGCCCTAAATATGATACAGAAGGACACTCCACCCCGCATGCATGAGATACTAATTATTGGTGTACCGTATCCTCTGGAAATGCCCAATAGGTGTCGGGCCTTTGTCATTTCTGTGCTTATCAAAACCGCTTTCTGTTCTTCTCAGCTCTTCCAGCAGTGGGGCCTTTGTCATTTCTGTGCTTATCAAAACCGCTTTCTGTTCTTCTCAGCTCTTCCAGCAGCATTTTATCATGAACCATAAACACTACTCCAGCAAGAATATTTACAGACATGTATAGGAAAAGGTAACAAAGCATTTGTTGGGACTTGAGGACACAGCACAGTGTAGTGAGAACAGGGTTTTTGAGTCAGGTTGGCTCTGTCCATTGCTACCTGTGTGACCTCAGGCAAGTGCTTTAACCTCTGGGAGCCTCATTTCCTCACTTATAAAATGGTAACAGTACTAGGCTATCCCTCCCAGCGTTATTGCCACATGGAATGGGAAGATAAGGTATGCAGAGCAGCACCTGGTACATTTTCAATGTCCAATAAGCAGCCGTCTCTCTTTACGCCTTTAAGTGGAAGACAAAACTCATATTTCTGTTTTGCAAAGCACACACACACACACACACACACACACACAGAGCTCTATCATGTACAAATACTGTTGCATGCATTTAAATGTTGAGAGCTTTTCATGGCATGACACCTCTGTTGAAAACACGGGCAGGTGCTGTAATGATCTAACCAGCCATGTGCCAAAGCCTCACTCCAGGCTGGGAAGGAAAACATTTGGCCACTAGTAGAGGAGTTTCTCATGGCTTCCCTTCCCTCTGTGGGAATACTAGATGGAAGGAAAGTCAGGTTTTGAAATCCTTTGACGGCATGTAAGTTGTCACGAGTGGAACTTAATTCATGAGTTCAAGAGGGTAGATTGTGCTTGTGAAGACCCCCCCTCTGTGAAGTGGTGGGTTATTTATGGCCACTAAGTCCTGTCCTGCGGCCAGATGCAGCTCTCTGCACCTCTATGCCTCCTCCTTCTGAGGCATTTGTCTGCCTCATTCTTGGAAAGAGGCTCAGTGGCAGGAGCTAATGGGAATGTGGCCACATCTTGGGGGAACCTGGACATTACTCCTCAAGACGGATCTTTGCATGATTCCTCAGCCTCGTTACTCAGCACTGACCCCAGGCAGGCTCTGCTCTCCCTGCCGTGACCTGCCACCCTCCGACTCCAGGTCTCATGGGGTTTTAGCTGTGAAAACTGTCCTGGCCTATAGACCACATCGCTATGTTTATTCCCCTCTGTCCCTTCTAGGAGCCCGTGCAAACAGCGATGCTCCATGTGATTCTTTGGGGAGTAAATGTTCAAGTCCATAAATGAGCCTGTTAGTATTTATTTGAACTGTTTGTCCTGTAAAGGGTCAGAGAAGCAGGGGCAAAATGGGTCTCCGTTGCTGCCTGCCCCTTCTCCATCTTCTTCCTTTCTCAGAAGAAACGACTGCCCGTAACCAGGGGGGGCTTCACTGCAGGAGACCTGCGAGTCTCTCCCCCTGAGCTGGGACCCCGCCGCCAGCCAAGCTTGGATGCAGGAGGCTTTCCAGGGCGTGACGACATCTGATTCAGAGACGAGGCAGCTTGTTTTCAGGAGCCCAGATGGGGAGTGGAATGGTGACATTTAGAATGATCTTGTTTTGGGTGGAAAACAGAGCATCTCCCCTGGGAAAGAACAGAATCTGGAGATGAGAGCGACTCCCTCTGCTGCCGCAGCTCCCTGCCGGACGCTGGCTTCTGGGTACTGAAAGGATCAGCCTCATCACGTCTCCGAAGGGATCTTGCTCTCAAAAAAGAACCCAAAGACTGTTAGATACAAGGAATTCCTACCCAAGGAAAATACGGAGAACTAATGGGAGGCTCCAATGTATTGCCTTTCTGCAGACAAAGTGGGAAAATTGAATGCGATAATGACTAGAAAAATTCTACTAATCTTTTAAAGAGAAATGCCTTGCAAAGAGGTAGGATCAGAGTTTGGCAGTGCTGTAAAGACAAATTCCTCTCTCTCGTCCCCTAAACCCATTGCCAAAGTGAACTATTAGGTTAAAACTAAAACAAGAAGATTTAAGTAAATTTGCAAATATGGAGAGAAGACCAGAGAATTTATACCCTTTGGGTGTTTAGACAATTTGCCTGAGTCACTGTGGGTTACCAGGTGCCATTTCTGAGAATTCCCTGGGGATGGGGAGCAGGGTGTTGGATATAATGTCTGTCCTTAAGGAAGGGGAAGGGTTTGTAGCATTCATGAATGGCCTTCGCTGCAGAACACCCTGGTGAGACGAGCAAAGATGGGCCAGTAGAAGCCGCCGTGCTCTGTAACAGGAGAGAAGGACGCGGTGACTACAAGTCTAAGCTACGCACAAATTTATGTCGGCGGAGTGTTGGGAACAGAGTTGTGCAGAGTTAGGAAGACAAAATCACATCTTTTGTAGTAAAAAAGGAATGTTTCCTGGAGGTGCCCTTTGGGTTGCTTGAAGGCAGGTGGGATTTCAAGGACTAGGCAGGGAGGGTGGGATTCTGGGCAGAGGATGGACGAGAGGGGGGCAAGGACACAGCTGTCGCCTCTGCCGCGGGCTGGTCGGCGGTGCTGGGAGACGCCTGTCGTCCTGGCGCCCGCCTCTCTCCCTCGGTTGCAGTTGTCCCCGACCCCAGGTGCCACATTCTTCATGTCCCTTGGAGCCCGGCTCCCAGGCGCTCCCCCCCAGCGCCGCTCTTGTCCACGCGGCCTCCCGCGGCCTCTGTCTGTGTCCACTCGGGGGCCCTCAGCGCCTCTCCTTTTTGAGCTGTGCTCTGGGTCTCATCGCAACCTCGACTAAAACCCCACAGTCCCACCATCTGACCGTCGTCCCTGCCCCTCATGTCATTCTTTCTTACTCCCGCCCACCCTGGGTTTCTTTGTCACTGAGACGCCTCATCCCTGAGCACCAGGCTCCCCCCCCCATCTGCAAGTCCCCTTCTGTGTCATCTCTCTCCCTGTCCCGTCAGCCTTCGGGTGTCCCTGCTCCAGTTACTCTCACTATGCTCTGTCATTCTCTTGCCCCCCAGCTCTTCTGTCGCGAAGAGAAGTCCCACAGCCAGTGAGACCAGGAGGTCCCCCACGGCTGCCGTGCGCCCACCCATGGCAGTCCCTCCAAACTCCTCTTTTCTCTCAAAACTCTCTAGCTGGTGTCTTTCCACCCGTCGCTGACCATATCACTGTCTCCTCACTACCTTGAGTCATATATCACAGAGAAAAAATCAAGGCCATTCAGCTGGGACCCCTCCCAGAGCCTCCCTACCATTGACCGTGACCTCAATCAACCCCACGTCATTTTCTCCTGTCTCAAGATTTCCCTCCCCTTCCCAACGTTCCTGTCCGCCAGCCTCCCTGGCAGCAATCTTCCTCCTGTGTCAGCAACCAAAGGTCATTTTCTCTTTAAGTAAAAGCCCAGTCGTCACAGTGGTCTACAAGGTCCTGCGTGATCTGGCCCCTGTCAGCTCTCGGCTCCTCCTGACCCTCTCCCCTCGCTCTCTCTTCAGCCACACCGGCCTCCTCGCAAGTCTTCAAATCCTTGAAAATGCCAAGGGTGCAGTGTTCCTTCCACCTGGAAAGTCCTGGCCCCGGTCTCCGTGCCTTCCTCCCTTCCCTCGGGCTTCTGAGCAGGTGTCACCTCAGCAGGGGCTCTCCCCTCAGCCCATTCCCTCCCCTGGCCACTGGCCACCATTGTCCTGTTCTGTATTGATTCATGTATTTGTTCATTCCCGTCTCTTCCCCTAGAACACCAGCTCCTCCAGGGCAGGGACCAGGGACGTGCTGAGCTGACAGCTCTGGCCCTGCACCTGGAGTGGTGCGTGGGACTCGCTTGCTGCGAGCATGAACCCACTGCTCTCCTCCTGGGCTGTTTCTCTTGCACATATAAACAGGCTTCAATTGTTCCCCTCTTCAAACAAACAACCAAAAATCAAAAGCATGTGGCGTTGTAACACCGAGGCCAATGGTTCAGTTCCCCGTACCGGCCAGCTGCCAAAAACCAAAAACAAAAACAGAAGAAACAAAAATCGAAAGCCATTCTTTGCCCTACCGTCTTCCAGACCACTTCCACACTCACCTTCTCCACCGCAATTCACCCCGACGCCCTGCCAGCTGGCCTGGCCACCACGTTGAAATTGGCCCAGCCAGGCACACGAGTGGCTTCCACATTGCTGGATCTGATGGGCTCCCTTCCACCTACCCCTTCGTGGCATTTGACGCAGTTGACCGCACTCTTCCAAGGATCTCTCTTTTCTTGGATGCTAGTTTCCTACTTTTTTCTCTATCTCTCCCTGAATCCTATTCTGCCGATTTGGAGTCTTCTGTCCCTTTTGCCGTGAGCACCTCCCTTAAATGGTCACATTTTCCACGATTCTGTGGCAGGGCCTGGGCTCTTCTCTTTCTGAGAGCTCTCTCTGAGTGTCCTGGTCCATAATCACCTACATATAATGACCCCCAAATCTATACTGACTGGCCAGAACTCTTTGCTGGGCTCCAGTGCTGTGTATCCAACCCCCTAACAAACGTTTTGACCTGATTCCCTGCAAGCACTTCAAACGCAACCCCTTTGTTTCCCCAGCGCTGTCCCATGTTCCTTATTCAGCAAATGACTCCACTAGTCCCCCTATCATTCAGTCTGTGCTCTTCCCTGTGTGCAGTTTGCTCTTCCCACTTTCAACCCAGCAAACTCCATTTATCCATCTATATCCAGTCACATGCCAGTGACTCAGGAGAGCGTCCTGGAGGCTGAGGTCCCGGATACCCACTGCATGCCTTCTCTTCCCCAAACTTTCCATATCTCTCCCCCTTCCTCACTCTCAGCTGATGGCTTGCTTCCCTTTACACAAGGAGAATAGAAACAACTGGAAGGACTGTTCCACTCATCCCCGCCATCACCTGCACCGATCTAGCTGCTTCTCTCCACCGTGGGCTTCTCCCCCTACTCTGCTGGAACTTGCTGTGTTCCTGGCTAAGGTGAGCCCCTGGCAAAGGTGCTCGACTCCCTTCCCCTATTGCCTGCTCTGTGGCATTTCTCCAGCAATTCCCTCTCCGTCCTGCATCATCAACTTCAGTCCAGGCCAAGGAGAGTCATTTCCAGGAAGCAGGATGGG